TGGTAATCAATACAAAACAGCACGTAACACTGTGCCTTGTACAGAGTAGATACTCAGTAATACTGTTACTGGTTAATTGATTGCTTGAAAATGAGATCAACAAATTTAGAGCTCATATGAGCTGTTAATTTAGGTAATATGTTCTCTCTAACTTATATTTTTTGAGACATATGGAAAACGTAATTTCTCTCTTTGATGTTTCTCTTCATCTTCCTTTTCAGGTGATAGTGCATGTAAATATAAGATCTTTGTAGACTACATGTTAATATGTAGTGTCATTAATGTAATAATTGTCTAATTTTTGAAGGCATTAAAATACTTGTGATATATGGTCATAATGTAAGGAGCACCATTTTACTTTAAAAATTTATAATCGATTGACAATTTAAACTAGATCCCCAACCAGTTCTGTTCATGGCTGAACTTAAACTGATCTCACAATTTTTTATGCCGAATCTAGTATTTTCTTCTTCCCTCCTTCTCAAATATATTGCTATTGCTCACCTTTATTCACTGTAGATTATTATAAATTTTTGTTTACTGTTGAAATACTTGAGTTTGAGTGAGTCTAAAAAAATTAAAAGTAATCTTGTAAAAGGATATATTTCTTAGAAAATTTGATGTAATTTATAGATTTTCCCTTTCAGGCCATACTGTGTTTTAGATTCTAACTTTATTAATAAAGACTCTGAAATGCTATTTAAAATTGCAACCAGGAGTTGTAACTTGTCTTCTTAGATTTTCACACAGTCCTTGTAATGTTTTTGTTTGTTGTTAGTCTAGATTTAAAATAATTTACCTGGAGTAACATTACCCTTGCATATAAGAAGTACTACCTAGGACTCCTACTTTGACTGTATACTGCTTAACTGTTCTTCAGCTAGCTAGCTATTACTTGAAGGTAACTGCCCTGTTAGCTCACAGCTAAAAAAAAGCCATGCATGTACTCTAAAATTAGAGGCAATTAAAAAATGCTTTCGATGGGTTCAGTGATGAATTTTTTTCTCATTTCCTCTTTTTAATTACTTTTTTTGTGAAATACACATTTTTAGGATTAGTTTCAGCTGTACAACACAGTGCAATAGTTATACTTTTTACCCCTCGAAGTGACAACCCACCCAAATCCACCGCCCCAGTTCCCCCCCAATATCATAAATATCTATTACAATTCCCTTGACACCACTCCCACACTATACTCCACGTCCCATTACCCTCTCTCTCTCTCTCTCTCTCTCTCTCTCTCT